ACTTAAGTAGAAAATCTTACTTAAGTCAAAAAAGACAAAGACTTTTTTGGACTTAAGTTTGACTTAAGTCAGATTTTCTACTTAAGTTTTTTTAAGAAACAGGCCCCAGGGGTCTCATATTCAGTGCCTCATGGGAGACAGAACAATCGAATTATCATGACAGTCCTTTGTTCTGTCCCCCCCATGAGTCACCGAATTTAGGACTTCAGGTAAGAACCTGCGAGAAATAAGAAGATCAGGTGACATTTCTTGAGTCTAGATCTTGATCCAAGAAATTTTTCTCGTCTTTCGTCAAGACAATGCGATTTGAGAATACTTTTTTCAACAAAAGGTACCAGAAAATTAAAAAAATCAATTCTTGATCAAGAAGTTCAAGACCATTAAAAATGAATGATGCGCTCGAATCGCGAAATTATAAGTTTTCCACATCCCAGTCAAGCCAGCAAATGTTAGTCTTGCTTTCATGTCAAGGGCACCTCCCTCAGGAAAAAAACTTTTTTAACTTACATCTGATTTCCATGGCCTTACTAATACTTACTCATACTTACTGCCCGACCAGCTTATGCTAAAAAGTCGAAATCGAAACGTTGCAGCGCTGCGGAGTTATTGCATGACAAGGAGCAAAATGGGAGTCTTAGCAACAATGCTCAGGCTTTTTTGTTGGAGGGTGCATAAAGCTTCCGGTGGTCTCAAATGAAAGTAGACACCTTAATCAAAAGTTTGCCCATAGCGATTTTTGAATTTCGCTTCCGTTCATTCTCTACACGTATTTTAAATGAGAACTCTGAAAATAACCCTAAACTCGGAGAGTATTTTTCACTTTTCTCTACAGAGAAAACAAAATTCAAAAATCGTTACTGGCAAAATTTAGACAAATATGTTAGCATCAAAATAAAAAAGAATGAAGGCTTTACGATGAATCGTCTAGGAGGAGTGGCAATTTTGTTGCGACGAAGTCGTACAAACCAACAAACAAACAACATGACTGTTAAAATGGACAATTGTAAAAGTTTTAATTGAAATTTGAAATTTGAAGAAGGTAGTTTTTAGGACTTTCGGAAATCTTCAAAAAAATTGAATTTCTAACAAATGAGATGCAAATCGCCAAAAACTAGCGATCACGGGAAAATATTCCATTTTCTTTCACAACCTGAGGGGTTTCATAGCTTTGCTGAAGAGAGGAATATGCGAAGGTTAAGTATATCACCGTAACAATTGCTGAGGTGAGCCTTATGAGCCGTTAATGATTGGTTGTCGATGTTGGATCGGCCATCTGATCTGAAAAATGGTGGCTTAAAAATCTGGCACTTTAGATTGTTTCATTACTTCAATAGACCTTAGATTAAGTAATTTTGTCGTCGAATATGACAATCAATTACCAAATAAAATATTTTTTTAAATTAAAATCCAAAGAGCCGGATTACTTCTACCTGAAATATACATGAAAATTTTTAACAATTTTAATTAATAACATAACAGAAGAAGCAGTCTAGTCTAGTTACCAGCGCTTTATAAAGCATCAAAAATGAGTATATTTCTAGGAGTGTTTGGTCTGGATCGAGGTCGAACTGAAAACTTTCCTCATCATGCAGGATCTGATTGTCAATTTTGTCAGATCTACTCCATCGATATCAGTGCATGCATCATTATTGTACAATGGGCAAAAGCGTAAATCAACATTTATTTAATATGTTCATACACAACAAATAGATTAAAACGCTGATATGTATTTGCTTAGTTTTGAAAAGTATAACAATTAAAGATGAAACTCATTTTTAACTATTGTTCTCTCTGAAAATGTTTGCAAAACTATTCTTTTCATATAAAAGGCGTGCTATTCTGTTGGGAATAGCGAATCACTATGTAATTATAAATTAATTTAGAATGGAAGACAAATTGATGGAACCTATGCAAGTATACAATTATGCTTGTGTTGTTTGATACTTTATTTCTAAGTTTGTATTTTATTATAAAATAAACATATTATTTTTTTTTGATTCTAATAAATACAATATTAGAGTTTTGTGAAATAATGAAGATTATATTTTATAAAATATTATAGATCTTAAAGATTCATTTGATTACAAATTACGTCTAAGATGAGTGAATATTTTGCCTATAAAGTTACTGTATAGAAAAAGGTAGGCTAACACTAACACGAGTATAGACAAAAAAAAAACAAAGAATCGTATAGTGCCAAAATTTTATTCACCTCAGGTATTTTTGTGTATATTCATATTCGTTTTACTCTTTCTTTCATTCATTCTCTTGCTTTTTTTGTTTTGTGTATCTTATAAACGAATATAAAAAAGAAGAGAACAAAAATTGGATAGAATGAAAATTATTTGACTTACAAAAACTCAGTCTGAGTAAATATTACTGCCCACATTTTCCTGTATATATCGTCCAGTGTTACATGTATGATTCAACATTCCTTTAATCTCTCATATGTGCAAAAAGGAGAAAACGAAGAGAGACAGAGAGACTAAAAATGAGCTAGTGTAAAATTATCAATTTAGTTTTATAAAAATTCGAAATATTCTTCTTCAGTTTTTTTTTGTTTTTTTTTTTAACATGACGGATAGAACATTACGATAAGTCAGATATGAGAATATTGTACAATTTAAGAATTAAACTTGTTTATATTTATTGTTATTGTCAAGTATATACGTATAAGATTGGATAGTTTTATTGCTTAAAATTAGACACAAAGATTCTTTATTTGATAAGTGAGTAGAAAATAGGTTAAAAACAAAAACAATTTAGAAGATTTTAAATGTTCAAATTTGACTTACTCTAAAAGGAAGATATATTGATTAATTAGAGTATTGTTTATTTCTGTATACTGTCGATACAATAATTTTTCTTTCTTGCTTATACAATACTTTTGAACTACAACGAATCATATGAAAAATTATTCTTCTGATTATTAATCAAATATTTTTGCACTCTTTATTTATTATTCATATATAAAAAAAAGAGCTTAGTTTCATTATGTTCAATTTTTATTTTCTTAGGTTTGGCAACATACTTCTAAATGTCAAGATAAATTAGATTAAAACGTGTTATAGTAAATCTTTTTCACGTCAAATATTATCGTATATATTATTTTAAATAATTTTACGACTTTTTTTTTTTATTCAGTCACAAATGAGTCAAAATGAATTAAGTCAGATATTGAATAAATGTTCTCAATTTAAACCACGTGATTTTAAAAATAATAAAAATATTGAATATTTACATTATTTAGAAGAGATATTAGAACATTTTTATGATACAAAACGGCCAGTATATTGTTCATTAGAATTACTAAAAAATATTATAACAAATATTTTATTGTATATTAATCAGGATGGATTGTGGACAGGAAAAAAGAAAGATCACTCGATTAATATAGCTACGATTGCTTGTCGTTTTATATCATATATTTGTGAATTAGATGTTGAATCAGCCAGAAATTTAAAATCTCAAATTCAAATAATTTTACAATGGTTACAAGATGATCAACATTATTTACTTAAAAAATTCTCTACAAGGTAGATGAGACGTTTCTGTCCTATCAACACAACATACTGTTCTTGTTCTTTTTTCTCATTTGTTTTTTTATTCTATAGTACAAATCAAAATTTATCGTCTGATCGTTTTTCATTAATCATTAAATTTTATCAATCTGTATATGATGCTTTCGAACATTATTATCTTATTTGTTCAAATCGTACTGAATTTGTTCATGAACTTTTATCAAAACAATCAAAATTGACTAAAAAAGTCACATCTTATCTCGTATTTTCTCGTCGTATTGATTCATCAAATCTCAACTGTACAAATGTTCTTGAATTTACTGTTGAATTATTCGAATATTTATTAAATATTGAATATAAAACGAATAATATTAATCATTTACTTAATCGATTAATTATATTTTTTTCAACTAATTTTAGTAGTTCACCATTTTCAGACTATCTTATTCGTACTAATTTTTATAAATTATTATTAACATCTATTTCACATTCTTCATTATATACTCAATTTGTTATTAATGAAACGGCTCAATCACAAACAGATTCAACCGATTCACTCTTTATTTATAGTCATATGTTAAATATTATTAGTGAATTTGTTTTAAATCCAAATTTAAGTAAAATTATTATTCAAGATTTATGTGATCATTCATTTATCGATACAATGAAAATGTTAATTAAAGAATTAATTGATTGTGGAACAACGACACCATTATTATTTTGTGTACAATGTTTGAGTAATATATTGTCAACGACAGAAGCATCAATAATCGTAGAATATTTTATTCGATCTGAATTACTAACATTATTAACAAATTATCTGATGAATCTAATTGAAAAATCAACATTAGGTAATGGAAAAATGATTATTAAATATTTACATGTTGATGTTATACGATCAATTCTATCAATTATGTACAATATATCAACATTAGGTAATTCTTAAAAATCTAATTTGAAAATAATTTTTACCCTTTTAAACACATTATTTGCAATATTTAATATAGTAGCTCTTCTCATTTTCTTTCTTCTAATTATTTCTACAATTTTTTTATTGTCGAATGATATTTTCAGATGATAACTACAGAGTGCATTTTAATGTTGATATAATTAGTCAATTATTCAAATATTTAGTAAAATGTGACTATGGTCAATTACGTATTATATCGTGTCTACTATTTTCAAATATTGCTACTCAAAAACAACTTGAAAATGAAAGTGAACTATTATCACAATATATTATAGAACAATTACTTGTATTTATACGTAATGCGTCAAAAAATGATGATCATCATCTTTATGATCATACAATATCTTTATTATCACTTGTACAATGTTTAAAAAAAATTTGTGTTTATGATATAATTAAACTTAAAATTGAAGAATTAAGAGGTATTGAATTATTATTTAAAATAATACGTGTTAATGATGTTCATCATTCAACTGATAATGTACATTATATACAAGAAGAATTAGAAATTATTTTAGAATGTATTTGGTTTTTGGCATTTAATGATAAATGTGCAACAAAAATATATTCAAATGATATTTATTTTTCATCATTAGTTCAAATAGCTGAATTAAATCCAAATGAACATATTGTATCAAAAGCACGCGGTACATTGTGGCAATTAACACAGACACTAGAATTCAATGAACAAAAACAACCATTAGCAAAACAGAAAAAGTAAGATAATAATTATAAGTAAGAAGGAGAGAGAGAGAGTTATCTCACGAGGGGACCTCGCGAACTGTCACATCGCTTTTTCAGCCAAATCTAGTGGGTTATAGGTTATCAACTATGCTGAATCCGAATATCATAATGGTAGCTGCCTAGGGGCCTCCAAAGAGCGGTTTTCTGAAAAACCAGTTTTTCAGGAACTCTAAAAAGTAATCAAAACCTTTCTTAATGAGGTATGATTAAAATGAGACATCCCTAGCTCTACACGACCTTTCTTTGCAAAGAAAAGCCCTAAATTAATTTGTTTTTATTTCTGTAGCTTTGAGCTGACAATGAACATTTAGGGCTTTTCTTGTAAATTCTATAACTTTACAAAGAAAGGCCGTATAGAGCTGGAAGATGTCTCATTTTAATCAGAAATTTACGGGCTATAATCATATCTCATTAAGAAAGGTTTTGATTACTTTTCGGAGTTCCTGAAAAACTGGTTTTCCAGAAAACCGCTATCTGAAGGCAAGGCCCTGGACAACTACCACTATGATATTCGGATTCAGCATAGTTGATAACCTATAATCCACTAGGTTTGGCTGAAAAAGTGAGGTGACAATTCACGAGGTTCCCTCGTCGGCCCATTTACTTATGATATTAAGTATAGATTTTGTGGATAAATATTTTCAAACATTCCAATTCATAGATGACGGAAATGTTTATAAGTACGTATAAGTTTTCTGTCTGCCTTTTAGAATAATTCAACCATCACAACACATCATGATAAGTTATAATCACGATACAAAAGATGTATGCATGAAAATATGTAATCAATTACGAAAAAATGGCTACACTGTTTGGATCGACACAGAAAATATGCACGGTTCAACACTCGAATGTATGGCCCTAGCAATTGAACAAGCGTTTGTAATATTATTATGTATTACGGAAAAATATAAACAATCACCCAATTGTCAATGTGAAGCAGAATATGCATATCGTTTAAAAAAGCCTTTTGTACCTATTCTCATGCAAAAAAAATATAAACCTGATGGATGGCTTGGAATACTAGTGGGAACAAGACTTTACATCGATTTTAATAAAAATGATTTTCAGACAAATTATGAAAAATTATTAAATGAAATCGAAGCTGTTACTCGTTAATTATTGTTATATATTTTTTAAATTTTATCTTTATGAATTAGTTTTAGATATTTTTTTATATATTTCAAGCTTATGTGGTATTACAAACATTTTTATATTCTACAATATTCACTATAATATCGATATAATTACTTCTATACATTCATCTCTTGTAACAAGACAACAATGAATGAATTCATAGTTTCAGTTTTTTCCGGATAAGATTATTGGTTAAAAGTAGTTTTTCAAACTAAATACGAATAAATCACAATTAATGAATGAGGTTACGGTTCAATACTGAAATACTCTATTTATTAAACTGAAATAAAAGTATGAACGAATTAATTGTTTCTGTATGAAAAAAGAAAATAACCGGTGACTTAGATTAAACTATTCGTCTATTGAAATGCTTTTATTTTTCCATGTCAGAAAATTTTATTTTAATGCCACAAGATAGAGGGTGTTATGTAGATTGATGTTATATGTTTTTCTTGAAATAAGTATTTGCCGGCTTTTTGTTTTCTTCTTCTTCTTCTTCAGTGTAAAAGTACAAGAAGTCACAAAAAACTTCCTTGCACAGCATTTTACTAAAATAAAATGTAATTTTTATCTGTTAAAATTTTTTTTCTGTACAATTTAAATAATAGCAATTAAAAATCAATTTTCTAGATACAAAACGATATTTTGGGATCATACTGTTGACGATTATAATAACCGTTTACAAGGTAGGCCTCTTGACTCGTCTTCGACACTTTTCATTCGCAAAAGAAACATCTCGACTTAGTTATTTATTATAGAATTGTCTCAACTCATGAGGAGAATGTTTTCGCACAACAAGTATACTTTTTACGATTTTTCTGATACTTTTAATATTGTGAAAAACATGACAAATGTTTATTCTAAAAAAAAAAGGTATATAACTCAAATCTACGCAACATTTTCTATGTACTAGTATTGAAATAAAATTTTCTAACTTGGAAAAAAAATCGTTTAAAATTTCGATAATTTAATTTAATTTATCCGTTAACTGGTACAAAAAATAGTAAATGTAGTAAATTTTAAAGTAAATGCAACAAATTTATGCAATAAAATTTTTTTGAAAATTATTATTGATAAAAGTATATACGTTGAATATTAATATAACACAGAAAAATATTACTTTTGAAAGTAAATAATCTAATTTATTCTTTTAAATAGGGAATAATATTGTCAATGAACCAAGCATCTGTGAATTGTAAATGATCTGTATTTGATTCAATAAATTTTAGACGTTGTTGTTCATCCATTTGTTTTAATCCAAGTAAATCATTTTTGTATAAATCACTATCTCTCAAATCGATTATTGTTGATGTATCATTCTCTTTATAGAATCCAAACCATTCTGATTCACGTGGTTCGACCATTGTATCTTTCAAAAATTTGACTAATATCATATTTCGTATTTTTAATAAATTTGTTTTATATATTTCATTAAATGTTCGTTCCTGATTTATATCAGCTAAAGAATGTTAAAACAACTAAGAGCTAAAATGAATAAATTTCTTTTTATAATGATTTTATACCCAGAAATATGCTCATTTTACGATATTCTTCTATTTGATGAGCTGAAATAAGAATAAAGATAAAATTTCTATATCTAATTAAGAAATTACTTTTCAAGCTCACGATCATGCCAATATTCAGCTTGGACAAGATGATTTTGAACAAATGTTTCATATGCACCAAAGCGTAAAAGATCTCGAATATAATTACAAACTGTTATGTTATCTCCTGGACATCTTGGAAAACCAAAAACGCCCTGATGTTGACCACCAACGGAAATTAGATTTAACATCGGTGGATTTGGACACCGTTGAGCTATTGCACGAAGAAATTGACCACCTTGAGAAAAGCCTATTGAATGATAACCCTCAGATAGATTTTTATTTGTCGTTATTAGGTTACAAGCATAATCAATTTGATGATTTACATTCATAAAAAATCCATTCGATGTGTCATCTGCGATGTTATCCCCGATTCTAAGAGATAAAATGTAGGGTGATGGTGTGATATTGTTCTCGATTAATTTAACAATCGATCCCATTGACAATGGATTACAACACGAATCACCCATTCCGTGCCACATGACAATGGGTGGTGAAGAAAAAGATGAATGAACATGAATGATGATAAAAACGAAAGATGGAAGGAGATACGAAATCATCTACAAAATATTTAATCCGTAAATCTCGGTTTACCTTTACTAAATGTAAATTCCATGAACGAAACAGACGTTTTTTACAGTATTTTGTCTTACTATGAATGGAAAACAGCAAACAATCCACAATTCATTCTTAATTATCAAATTTATATTGGTCTTTTCCCATAAGCTACTCTCAGCTCTAATTGTGAAATTCAAAAAATATTATCAATAGATTGTATAGGATACCAATAAATTATCACAATGAATTTCTATAGTTAACATAGATGCATATCTTGCTTGTTTAACAATTTTAACGAAAACATATTAAAATAGTCTGACACTACTATTTTTTATATAAGAAAAAGAATATTTTTATTTAAGGCATAGACATCTTTTTTTTCTTGTTTGTTTTAAAGGTGTAAACGACTGATAAAACGCAAAAAAAGAGAAGATACGCAATTTAGTAATACTTGCAGATGACCGATGACTCCTATGGTAGAACATGATAAAAATAGTTACATTTATTTATTGTACAAGAATTTCACAATAACAAAACAAAAAAAAATAAAAAAAGTTTTAGTCTCGTCTTCGTTTTTCTTTGTCTCTTTCTCTTTCACGTTCTTTTTCTTTTCTTTCGCCACGATCACGTTCACGATGTTTTGAAGTACTCCTTCGATGATGTTTACGTTCTCGAGGTGAACGACTTCTTGATCGAGTTCTGGATCGTCTAAAGAAATGACAAATTGCAATTATAGAAGGAATTATACATCCTTAATACAAAAACAAACAATAACATACTTTCGTTTTGGCGATGGTGATCGAAGAAATCTTGGAGAAGGTGAACGTTCTGGTTTATCAAGATCACGATATTTCTTTTTCGGCTGATCTTCCATCTACAATGATAAAATAGAATCTATAAGAGATTGTGATCAAGAAGATTGATAGTAAGAGACAATAATATGAAAATTGAAAATAAACTTTTTAAATAATTTAAAAACTAGAAAATATACTTTTTCATCTTCTTCACTATCGTCACTTGATTCAGAGTCATCAACATCTTCATCCAGTACACTGACACGTGGTTCGATTTGATTATTTTCTTCGAGAACACTTCGTTTCTACAGTACAAAAACATAAAGATTATCAATACAAGAATGATCGATCCATCACTGTTTGACTTTACCTGTAATCGAGGTAATTGAACATCAAGTACACGTTCTTCTCTTAATAACTCATCAATAAACTCATCTACATGAATTAATTCATATTCTAAAGAAAATCAAATATACAATACTCATTGATATTTTATTAAATCTAATTGAAAATAATCACTTACTGCCAGATCGATTCATTCGTTTCATTTTTCTATAATCGTTATACAATGGTTCAAGATATTTATAACACTCGACAGATGTGCCAACAAGACGCATATAAAATGCGCCTAATGCACGAACATATCTAAAAGAGAGTTAGTTTAAAAAAAACCAAACGCTTAATTGAACATTCGACTCACTTGAATTCTTCATTTTTAATAAATTCAATAATAATATCTCGATCTGGTTGAATTTGTAACATTTTAAGAACAAGACAAATAAATGCCGACGGCTTAATATTTCCACCATAAACACCACCAATAAATTTTAATTCAACGGCTTTATCAACCAGTAATTCGGCTAAAAAAAACAACTAAGATATCAGAGGTGTACCATGGTCGAATTTTGCTTCATCGTGGAAATTGTTTTGAAATTTCTAGCGCTCAAGTTTTCGAAAAATCTTTTACGGGGGCTGTCTCATCGATTCTCATAAGTTTGGAAAATCCCAATTAACATACATTATTCGTTGTTTCATCTTGATTAAAAAAAAGTACGTATCATCTTATATTGATTGTATTAATATATTATTTATTCGATATTGTATCTTTTAAGTGTGAACTTAAAAAGATCCTTCTCCACCTCTTATCAATAAAAAACTTTCGCCCACTGGAGCCGCCTCGTTAACTTTCCATGCTCTTCAAACTGTCAAAAAAATTTTCTCTTCTCCCGAAATACCCTGGAATTCCTTTCATCGTTAATTTCTGTAATACAGAAGAGGCAAAACATGGGAACATTAATGTTAAAAAGTTTGGAATTTCACTCAAAAAGAAATGTTAAAGTCAGTATCTACTTACCGCTTAAGGCAAAACACGTTTCTTTCCAATACTGTGAATCATAAATACGGGTACGAATAATTTTCTCAATTAAATATTGAGGATTCGTCCCTTTGACCGATGCTGCCTCTTTGACAGTTCGATTCGCCATTGAAAAATCTAAGATGAAAGTCAAAACGAATCATTTTTAGTTTTGAAAACTTCATAAAAATAAAACAGTTTCCAGGGTTAATGACTATTCACAGATATCAACATTTTCACGTTTAGTTCTTTGCTGAATCCACCATGGAACAGCGATATTTGCATAAACAAACTCAAATCTCCTTGTGGTCGGACGGACATAAACAGACTTTTTGCTGTAGTGGATCATTTAGAAAATAGCATAAATTAACCGAAGAGTAGTATCACAGCGAGAAGCAATTTCCATACTTTTCTTTTTTTAAATACTGATGGAAAATATTGTTAATTAGATGCTTAGAACTACATACATATATCTGTTCGTTTTGCAATAAGCCTCAGCCAGTAGTTCAATGGGTGTGGATTTTCATTGATTCTCATTAAATATAGACTGCATTTGTACACAAGAGATGATTCTTTTATCAATCTTCTTAAGTAGCACTTGAGTGTCGACTTACGAGGGACCCTTTCCAACTGTCTAATCGCTTTCTGGTCGAAACTTAGTGGGTTATAGGTTATCGATCACGCTGATTCCGAATATCCATATGAGAGGGGCCGCTAGACCTTCCTAGAGCGGTTTTTCAGAAACGTCGAAAAATCACTGAAATTTTCTCTTAATAGATCACGAGTGTAGTCCACGAAATTCTGATCAAAATGAAACATCTTCTGTCTCTGCAAGACCTTTCTTTGCAAAGTTATAGAATTTACAAGAAAAGCGCTAAATGTTCATTATCAGCTCAAAGCTACAGAAAGAAAAAGGAAAAGTGACTTTAGAGCTATTAAGAGAAAGTTTTAGGAACTTTTCGAGGTCCTAGTGGGCCGTCTCATATCGATATTTGGAATCAGCGTGATCGATAACCTATAACCCACTAAGTTTCGATCAGAAATCGATTAGCCAGTTGGAAAAGGTCCCTAGTTAGTCTTAAAATGTTAAAACTCAATATTGATTTAAGACATCTTCAAACTTGTTTTAAAGTCAGTACAGTAGAACAGACTACTAAACGGCACGGTCAGGTAACTCTGCTACCGGAGTGAAATTCTATGACAAAATTTTGACATTTAGCTACGTTTATACTTTTTAAAGAAAGCACGTGCAGTGCTGTGGGACGTCTAGAATTGTAAAGCAAACATTTCTCTACAAAATGAGACGTCTCGAGGCTCTGTATGTTTCTTTCTTTAAAAACTAAAAGCAAAAAAAATACGCTCTTATCAAGCTTCATGTTGGGAACGTAGTATTTAGTATTTACCGTTTATCGTTTAAACAAAGAAACGTATAGAGTTCCAGGACGCCTCATTTTGTAGAGAAACGTTTGATTTACAATTCTAGACGCTGCACAACACTGTACATACTTTCATTAAAAAAATATAAACGCAGCAAAATGTCAAAATTTCGTCACAAAATTTCACTTCGCTAGCAGAGTTTTTTTTTGTTTTTAATTTATTTATTGATGAAACAAAGCAGAGAACAATAGCAGAGTTATCTGGCCGTGCCGTAAAATAAACTAAACGTTGTCTTCAAATTTAGGAATGAAGAAGAGAAGAGGAATTGTGTGAAAGTCGGATTTACAATGTATCTAACATAAGCAACTGAAAAACAGAGAAAAACTTTCGAGCGCTTCAACATAATAGTGCATTACTCTATTCGATGCTTCCGTGTATTGGATGTATTGTCGACCAATCTCTATCAAAGCTCGATATGTGTTTTTGTATTTTACGGCCCTGTGTAAAATAAAAAATAAAAAGGTTAAAAGGTATTGTTGGTCTATAAAACAGCAACTAACTTACCTAGCTGAATATACACTTAAACTGCTCTCGATAGATGTCTCTTTTTATGAACTAAAATAAGATACCAATAAACTACAAACTGAATAAACTCAAAAAATGAGATGAACAGAAAAAAGGAATGAAACATGACATGACACATGGTTATGATTAGCGATGACGGAGTGGTCCACTAACAGGTGTAGATAAAAAAAGGATAAATTGTTCAATCTGATTGATTGAGTCGCCATCTGCACTAATCAGGTCGGAAAATTTATCTTTTTAATCTATATATCTTTTTATCTTTATTTCACACAGGTTCCCACACAGACATACCGATAGACAACCATTTTGTAACACGCTAGACTAAACTCAAGGGAATAAAATTTTCAACCAGTATCCCACCAATAAAAATGCAGTCCATATATTATTCAAATAATTAGCATAGAAACCCGTATGTTGAATGTGAAATAAATATTCACTCAAACTCAAAAAACTTGGTTAAAAACTCAAAGGAATTCAAATTATATAGTCCAAGACAGGCTAGGCATTGACTTAAAAACTTCGCGACCAGCATATAGATCACCGCATAAAAAAATCGATAATATGTGTAATCCAAGTATCTCAAACGGTACATCTATCTTCGTCCTTAAATTAGCGACCTTAATAGTAAAAGCGCAACAAACATATTCATAAGTTTACTGTGACACCTGCAAGTTTAGCCACTTTTTTTTAGCCATATGTGATTTTCTCTAGACCTAGAAATGATTAGTAGTAATAGTAGTAGTAGTAATACCGTTAGCTTCCGGTGTAGGGTGAGACGAAAAAAAGTACACAAACAATTTAGAAACGATTAGAGAAAATCTCGCATCTCTTTCTAGCCATTTATCAAGCGTTTCTCGATTTTCTCTGGATCCTCTTGCCCCCTCACTCTCAAGTTTATAAGTTGTCTGTTATACGATCTAATGCGAGCAGTTGTCGAAAGTATTTCACATTTGGTTATCGGGTGATGTTTCGTATCGATGCAGTACTCACGAGCTGAGACCATAACATGTACTCAACAACTGTGGTTATCACTACAACATCAAATATCTCCATTCTTCAAATGGAATTTGAGAATTTTTCGAAAAGAAATATTGGAGAGCAATCAATTTCATTAATGTTCCCGGTGCATTGGCGTCATTACCTCCGGATGAATCAAGATGTACAGTTACCTTCTGCACTATACCAAGAATGTAAAAAATTCAATCGTTGATTGTTTTCTGAATAGGAAACAATATTTTCGAAAAATTAAACCAATTGCAGTTTTTCGGGAAAGTCGAGAAAAACGGTTTATTAATCAAACCTTTTGCACAATAATAGGCCTTTCGTTCGCTTTGCAATGATACTTAAATGTGCGTTTAGGAGTGTGTTGTTCAAGTCCGTATCAACGAGTAATAAGTTGATTAAATCGAGTTTCTCTAATTCATACCTTTCTGCAATCACGTATTTCTTTTTCCTGCTAGCGAGTTTCCCGTTCACAATTGTTTCATTTTTCCCTTGTACCAATGTTGCTTGTGATCGCGATACCTGCGCAATAGACATGGAAATTCGCGAACACAGTGGATCAAAATGTTCGTAAACCAGTATTAAATACTTCGCTGCATTTTGTACTGTTGAGAACTTTACAACAGGTAGTTCAGTGAACGTGAAAATTTTTTATCTTCACGTTTTAAAAGCTGAGTTTGTGACCCATGTGTGACTACTATATTGCAGTGTAAACGATATAAGAAGAATGATCTTGTCGTCATACTAATAACATCACTAACATCGTATTCATCGATTTTGATAGCATTTGAAAATTTGACAAATAAATAGGCCGATTTGTCACAGATGAAAAAAAACACAAAGTGCAAAACATAGATTGGATTTGCGCTCAACTCTTACCGGAAAGAAAAAAATATTGTCATTGGCGGCTATTTTTGACAGCTGTTACAGCCAGGTAACTTCTAACTATATGCAAAATACCAAAAAAACCTTTTCTATTCCAAAATTCACGAATCAAGTACAGAATCTTCGTAGAAAAGTATGAACATTGTAGGACTAAAATATCGTCTTTTACTTTCTCTGTAGGTGTAGGATGTTATAAGGAAACTAAATTATAGAAAACTCCAGTCTTTTTGTTCAATTTCTTTCAGATAATGATTGAGATCAATGAAATGAAACAATCATTCCTAGTGCATCAAGTCGATTCTGTCTCGGCAGAATTTTACATTCAATTGTTTGTCGAAAATGTAATGAGCTATTGATGTAACAGAAGGACGGTGATCACCGTAAGTATTCTCTTTCAAATAAAATTGAGCTTATTGAGAGCGGTGTTTTTAATGAGAATTTTTTGCAGAGTGCACCGAGCACTCTATTTTTCCAATTAAAGTGCACTATTCCAAAAAAATCTAAAAAGATGAAAGCACCAGTGAGAAAGATGCGAGAATTTGCGCGATATTGATACTAAAGAAAAAACCTTTTCTTGAACAGTTATTCTTAGACTTGTTATATTGACACAGATTGTTCTCTTCTGTCTATCTCTGCTGTAAAAATTTAATCTTGACGATCGTACCCATACTGTTGTTCGATCATCTCTCCCTTTAGTCGGCTTCTTAGTCGGCCATGAAGGATTTTTATTTGAAACAAGATAGACAAATAAATATTAAAATCAGGCTTCATGAAAAGAAAGGATATTCTCTTTTATATTATGACGCACTACTTAGTTTGAGAATGACTTAGCACTAATTCGATGAAAAAAAACAAAGTGCAAAATAAGTTGCTTTTTAAAATTCCAAAGTGTACGTGCATTTCGTTCTATTGCGTGTACGTTGTCATTAAAAACACTGAATTCAGAGTTTTATTGAGATGGACCGGAACAAAATAAAGAGCGTATGGGAATTATAATTCTTACTCGTCTATGTATCTGTTCTCCTGTTTCCTTTGAGGTTAAAAGTTGTGTTGTCTTCTAGTACTAAGTTTCAATTACGACTATACAGCAACGTTGGGGATAAGCTAAAACGTTTATAACGAGAACCGCTATCATCCATGTATATTGGTATTGATTCGTAGGTTACATGAATGTCGACGTAACTAAATTTCAGCCGACCCTTTATTAGCCATTCATCAGAAAATGACAAATTACAGATATTGGAAAACGTAGCGTCCGTAACATACGAAGTATTATTCATTGACGTCGCATATCAACAAAAACTTTTCTTTTTTTTTAAATTACACTTTGAAATTACCATTAACAAATCTTTATCTATCTATTGGAGTTTTTTTTTAATGTTTGATGTACTGCAATTACAAAATAGATAAACATGCTCTTATGTTTGTGTTTTTTTTGGTTACTACTGAGCTAGAAGTCTTAACAATACGCAGAAAAAGTGAAAGACTCTCGAAAAATGGCAGAACTAATTCCGATAATGATTAAATTTGACGGTCACTATGTTTAAGCTGTGGTAAATTAAACGCGTATCCTCATTGAGATTGTGTGTTGATCGTGTATGTCTATGCACAAATGATCTCTGTTTGCTGCCTTAAAGCATCTATTTAATGTTGCTGCATTACTAGCACACTACCCATGCAAAAAATTGTCGTTTTTGCACGAGTAAAAGCACGTTAATATTATCATTCTCACTAAGCTTTATTTTCTCCGTGAGATTCAAGGGAAACTGTTTGTATTTTCTTCTAAAGGTATTACATGCGAAATATTGAATTTTGTTAGAGACATAAATCTCTATTGCTCCATAGAAACACATAAAAAAGAAGAGAATAAATAAATGAATACAACAACATAAATTTTTCTTTTAGGTGACATTTTTTCCTTATAGACAATTAATTCTATGAAACAAGATGGAAATCTAGTTTCATATGGTGATATGTTAATAAGAACAATATTAGACCGGATTCTGTTTATAGTTAACTATTACGTCAAATGTTCTACGGTAGTTTTTTGTATTAAAACGCTTATCTAGCAACATAAAAAGCAATATCAATGAAAAAAGTATAGTACATGTTTTTAAAATGGATGCTCAAAGGATAAGAGAGTCTGCGAAAGTAGACAAGCCTGGACACCAGGATGGTAAAAGTAAAATAACTAGTGTAGTAGTATAAAATAATTTGCGAGACACTAAATAGATCTTTTGATAACTTCATTCGATAGAGTTTGAGTATTTTTCTTTTCCCTTTCTAGCTGCAGTAAAGATACTGATAATTCTCCAGAAAAACACGTTTTGCAATTGTAAAAATTTTATAACTCGAAGAGAAAAAGTAATAAATAGAAACCAAAACAAAAAGAAACTTTTGGAATGCGCTGATGTATCCGATAAAATTTTTAACTCTGCTGAATGAAGTTATCGAGGGATCCTAATGGAAAACTCGATAACAAGTTAGAGACTTGAAATAGTCTCTGAAACAATATGGTAGTAGCTACCAGTTTAGACGTACTGCAATCAACGTTTGTAGTTTCTGTATAGTGTCTCTATACATAATTATTAATTTTCTAAGAACCAAACCTGCACTAGTCCAAAGCAGATGGACTGGACTTAGTCTAGTCCATACGAAATTACTCTGCGATCTATAGCATGATGAATCATATTGTTCAATTCTGTTCTCAAATATCAAATTTTCATAATCATATTATAATTATTCCGTTATTGGCAGCTATTTGTAACACTTCGACTCAACAAACTGAAATCATTTTGTTAATATGGCAGACAGCAGTTTGGGTTCGGTTATGTATAAGTTTTATCAGAAATTGGCAAAAAGCATTGATTGATCATGCACAAAATAGAAAACAATTCGTCTCCAGAACGTCTGATCTTCTTATGTTGCTTATTCTAAGACGAAGGTGTCGCCTTCTTTATAGATCTACCTGCGCACTGATTTGATTTTGTAAATCAGAGTGATTGTTCTTCAGTAGGATTCGCAATCCACAGACATGATGAAATAGATAAAAGAATAATAAGAAAGAGAAAAATTCTGCTATCCCTAGGTTCTAACTACATACGAAATGTGAAACTCGACTTGATATAATTTTAATTTAGTTTAATTTTACAACCGCTTATCAGTCTCTAGTAACTCATAGAATTAAACTAAATTGTGACTAACTTGTCTTTTTCCTGAAGATCAAACCATGCGTCATTATAGAGTTAGTCACTATATAATAGAGAATTATGACGTAATGTCTTTCTCTATTGTGTCAAAACTACGATCAGTAAGAGGACGGGTTCCCAAGATCGAACCATAAGTATGGTGCTTTTCACATTTGTCTCAACGTTTGTTCGGTAAAAGTTATTAGATACAGTTTATGTTAAAGGATGAATCATTTCTGGTAAAATGAAAAGAAATACTTAATGGAGAGAAGCAGAATATGTGTCAGCGATATCGTGTTCCATTCTCGACGTGTGAAAGTTATCATTCTTTGTTTGATAAGAACAAGGAATAGTGGCACTCTCATACGGTGTGGAGTTGTGTTGCTTGGCGTGCCTTAACTCTGTCTTTCTCAAAGGAAACCACCTGACGAGATCCTTGGGAAAGGTTGAAACCAGTCGTCGTGTCTTCTTTTGAGTCTTTCAGAAATGAGTTCTGTTTGATTTTCCTAAGGACATTCTTTCGTATATGGTAGCTCGATTGTTCTCGCATCGTTGTAGAAATTTCAACCATAAATATGCCTATTCTTCTACCTATTCGATATTAGAATTATAGTTTGATCACAATTATGTAAAATACTCACATAGTACTACAGCGAATTTGCCAGTATTTGTATTACATCATCCTAATATTTTGACCTATGCGCGCCTTCAAATGTTTTATTCATATTATAAAACGTCTTAACTGCGTGCAAAAAAGTAATATTCGCATGAGATATCTCTTGTGGCTATCTCATAATCATATTTACTAAACAAATACATTTTAATTATTCGTGTGATGGTGTTTTAACCATATGCTCCATGTGTTTTAACCATGGTAGCGTAATCTGTGTAAAATATGGAGAATATTTGATTATACTTAGAATTTATTTAGGGATATCGGCCTCTTATGTTGGTGTATCAGAAACAATTGTCTATTTTGTTATATACGATCCACTCGTATGCTCTTCTTTTTTTTTATAGCTTAAACTAATTAATTATTATATTCTCATCAATGAGACATTATATGAATGTATTCCAAACGTGGTTATTAGCTATGAGACCGTGGTCATTTTCTGCCAGTTTGATGCCCGTATTATTAGGTAGTGCTTTAGCATATCCACATATATATGATATATCTATAATTTTATTAATCTTAACTGGCTTATCAGCATTATGTGTTCATGCAGCAGGTAATTTATTTAATACCTATTATGATTTTAAATATGGTGTCGATGAGAAAATAGCAAAAGAAATTGATATCAGCGTTGATGACGATCGTACATTAACCGAAGGATTATTAAAACCAGATGATGTTATACAGTTAGGTTTAGTGTTATATGGCATAGGAACATTTATATTCTTGATATTAACTTACTTCTCACCAGCACGCGAACCGTATTTGGGTATAATTTTTTTTGGAGCGTTACCTTTGTCATTCTTGTATACTGGTGGAATTGGTAAGTTTTGAATTTTTAAAATTCCTAAGACTCTGTTTAACGACGATATTTTCAAAATGTTATTTTGTTATTTTTCTCCTTATTTCAGGTTTTAAATACATAGCAATGGGTGATATTCTAATTTTATTAACATTTGGTCCGATAACTGTATTATATTCATTTATTTCTCAAAGTGGTTATTACAATCCTTATCCTGTGTTATATGCATTACCGCTTACACTAAATACAGAAGCAATTTTACATTCAAACAATACACGTGATATGTTACACGATCACGCTGTTGGCATTTTGACATTATCCATATTGATTGGTAAAAAATTATCCTATTATTTTTATTGTTTACTCATTTATTTACCTTATCTAATGATTATATTTATAATGTTTAAAATTTCTTGGTTATGTTTTCTACCTTTATTGACACTTGGTCATGCACGACAGTTGTGTAAAGAATTTCGGACAAATCAGCTGATCAAATTACCAAATCGTACGGCACAATTAAATTTTCAATTAGGTTCATTGTATATATTGTCGATTGTTTTGACCAATACAATTACAACTAAACAGCAATTTTTATAAATCCAGATCGGAAAAATCAAATAAAACTAACAGTTACTTTTTACTTGTTTCTATTAGCTCTCCGTCATATAATCTGGGGTTTCTTTCTCTTTCATACATGTGCACTGGTGCGTAATTTTTTAATAAAGTACGTTACTTTTTAGTGATTAAACTTGTCAGTACGAATCTCATTGGATTTCTGAATTATTAATGTTTTAATATTCATCCGTTTTGTTTTATTGTGATTTAATATTTTCAAATAGTCAATTGTTCTTTTATGCTATTTTTTTGTTTTTATTACCAAAGAATTACCAAGACATGTTGTTTCTCACTGATTTTTATATTCGTATAATTTATATGAAAACTAATATATTTTTTTAGTAAAATACATATGATATAGTGAACAAAAGCAGTTATTTTCATACTCTCAAGAAATTCGGCTCTTGAAGATAATCATTACCCAATTTTCATTTAGAAATTATTAATATCATCACTTTAGTTTATTGAAATTGTAAACGCTTCGTTTACCTTTCACTATCGTCCCTTTCTAAATTACCATTAACTTCTTCTCAAATACATCTTGTTAAAGTGTCAATACTTGTACAATAAAGAATATTTTGTATTTTAGATTTCTTCAAAGATGTTTTACTAATATTTTTTTTATATTTTTCTACTATTGATAGATATTCTGAATTACTAAACATTTACTACCATACATAAACGTAAATATTACATGTATATATCTACGTGCTATAGTGAAAAACAATCGTTATTTGTCTTCTCTTAAATTTAAAGAGAAGAAGATGAAATCGATCAAAAAATCGCCAAAATAACACAAAAGACAGTTAATTATTGTACGTTTATTTCTCAATGTTCATCGCTGAATCAAAATTTTCGGCTTTGAAATCGAACATCAATCTATTTCTGAAAATATTATTAGTACGATCATCAGTTGTCAATAGTAACGATAGTACACACAATTTTGTTAATTCAGTAAAAGTAAATGAGTCAAGAAGGAAAAGGAAATGGACAGCCGAGTAATCGATCCTCTGTCGTTCATCTGTTCGCAGGCGGGTAAGTAAAAAAAAGAAAATTAAACATAAAGTTTTGTTGGTAAATAAAATATTCTGCCCTTTTTCTTCTTTTTTCTTTTGAAGACTTGCTGGTACAATTGGAGCCATACTTACTTGTCCTCTAGAAGTCATTAAAACACGTTATCAAGCATCAGAAAGTTTACTTAGAGATCAAGAAAAACTTTTTGCTGACAAATCGTTCAATTCAAAAAATACTACTTCAATAACAAATTATCCATCATCAACAATAATCAAAACGACAAATATTCATTCATTACCTTATAAACGTCCAAGTATCATCGAATCATTTCGGTAAGAAAAGTAAATGTTGAAATTATAGTAAATAAATTCTTTTGTTTTTGTTTTTCAAGGCATATCATACACTACAAGGGTATTAAAGGCCTCTTCACAGGTTTAGTACCAAATTTGGTTGGGGTAGCACCATCCAGGTAATCTTTTTACTAATATATTTACTGATTCTTACTCTGACTTTGTGATGATGATACTAGAAAATATGATCACTAAACTATTGGAAAAGCGGCTGTCGTCTTTTTTTGCCTACATTGAATTGTTTGTTCGTTTTCTTACAATATTAGAAGATTTTATGCCTGTTTTATTTGTTCAATGCAATATTTTGTTGAAAAACATACAGTAGCTTTTCGTTTTTGGGAAACTAACTGCCTCTTGACTAAATCTTTTATAATAAGATAAAAAATATATTTTTATCATTATTCTTATAAACTTTGGTTTGAGCTGTATGAATTTATGTTTATCTTTTTTTCTCGGTTTGTCCGGCGTTTAGGGCGATTTATTTTTTTGCTTATGGAAATACAAAATCATTTCTTGTTGATTCGATGAAACGTGAAACACCTCTTATTCATGTAACGTCAGCCGCTGCCGCAGGTATGCTCAATTTATAAAATGAATAATCAATTACGATTCAATTATTTCAAAAACATTGACCTGTAGAATTTTTTGACTCGTATCTTCCCGGTCTCACTTCTTAATTATTACATAAAAATATTTTTTTTTATCATTGATATATGTTTAGGTATAGCAATGTCAACATGTACAAATCCTCTATGGTTTATAAAAACAAGACTTCAGCTTGATTTGCAGTGCGTGTTACTTCATGAATATAAGTATTGACAATTTTATGCTATAATAAAATTATTCTTTTTCATTTAGAGATACTCGAACAATTGACTTAATCCGTAAAGTTTATCGTGAAGATGGTATTCGTGGCTTTTATAAAGGTAGCGTAATCTGTGTAAAATATGGAGAATATTTGATTATACTTAGAATTTATTTAGGGATATCGGCCTCTTATGTTGGTGTATCAGAAACAATTGTCCATTTTGTTATATACGAACAATTAAAAGCACAAATTCAGTTAATTCAAACAAATTTAGCTTATTCACTAGACGATTCGGGTATGAAAATAAAAATATTGCTTATTGGACAGCTATATTGTATTGTTAAATTTAAATGTTTGTTTTTGTTTAGGTATGTTTAATTTTGTGTCTTATTTGGGTGCTGCTTCTTGTTCAAAATTGTGTGCAAGTACGCTCTGTTATCCGCATGAAGTAATACGTACACGTCTAAGAGAAGAAGGTACAAAATATAAAACATTTATGCAAACATTCAAAACTATACTGAAAGAAGAAAGTTATGGTGCTTTATATCGAGGATTATTAACACATTTAATTCGACAAATACCAAATACAGCGATTATGATGGCTACCTATGAGATTGTCGTCGCTTTTCTTTCGGATACATCTCCACAGTCAGTTACATTAACAGAAGTATCAACATTAACTCCAAAACGTGTTTTGATAAAATCGGTGGATAATGAAGTAAACGCGACTATTGAGTCAGAAATGTAGTATATAGCCGAGTTAGAATAAATTTTATAGTTTTTTGTGAACCTTTTTGTTTTATCACGCTATAAGTACCAAACAGAATATAATTATAGATGTGTAAACAATTCACTTCTCTTCCATCCTCTTCTTTTTTTTTATAAAACAAAAATGTTGTGTTTGTTGATTTTGTTTGATCTCGGTGATTTTTGTTTTAAGAAACAGTTTTTTTTTTTTTTTGTTTTCAATCACAAATAGACCATTTTTTATATTTATTTTTTTCCGATACACATAATCATAGCTGTATAATTTTGTAACTTGTTTTGTTTGTTTTGATGAATGATCTCTTTAATTTGATAGTGATAAACCATATTGTAAAACTCACTTATTCTGTTAAAGTATCTAAGCAAAGTAGTATATCTTGTTATATATGGTTTAAAATGTTAACTTTTCACTTCCAACTACTGTCAAGTTGTCCCATAATTTTACGACATTGTTTAACTTATGTGAACAGTAATGTAATAATTACATACAACACTACTGTGAAATCTTTTGGTGCTTTTTACTGCGTTCAATCAAACGTGATATTATCATTATGTGTACTAGAAACTAATTTTAAGAGAGTTTCTTATTCTTGATTGACCTTTGATGACATTTAACTTAGCAATTCTTTTGTTAATTTTCTTCTTTTACATCTTTTCATTTCGACATCATTTATTTTGTTGTATGTAATTAGTATTTTGTCTACATTTTTATATATTTTTCTTCTTCCAGATAGAGTATTATTATGTGTTTCGATGTGATAATACATTAGAAAAAAGTATAGGCAAATTGTTTGAGTATTTTTTATCCATTTTGTTTGCTGTGTCATGTCATATACATGAAGAAAGAGAGTGTTTGCTCATGTATATTTCATATCACTTTTTTGCCGATTCATTTTCTGTTGTTTGTCTTGTTTTTATATTGATAAAAGAAAACTTTATGAAATGGAAATAAATAGTTAAACAAATTCCATATGGTGATCGTTTGATGAATTATTGTAGTTAAACTATCATTTTTTCACGTAATATTATACATATATCGGTGACACGACAGTTGAGCCTGCGACAAATAAGCTCCAACAGACGAACCCTGACAAGTGCGCCTCTCGACACTTGAGCTCTTGACAGTTAAGCCATGATAGTTGAGCTGTATGAAAACTGAGCCTCCGACATTTGAGCCTATCGCAGATGAATATCATCTAAAAGCAAAAATGATCGTTATATCACTTAATTTCTGCCGGTTTTCGTTTTTTCGACGCGCAAATAAAACTCAGTCTACGTGGCGTTATGTTAGAAACAATTATGCCGATTGAGTAACTTGTGATGATCTACAATACAATCAAAGTCATCCGACGAAATGGTAGCGATGCAACTCAGATCCGAAATCAACGAACGATCCACTATTATAGCTGAGAAATTGCAAGCTACACTTGTAAAAATAACAAAATGCTCCGCATACGAGTGTGTAGGAGAGCAACTACAACAACTGATTGCTACTTTTAATTTAAAACCAAGAGAACAATACTTTAAAAAAGGAAGGGCTTTGTTCAATTTATGATGCTAATGATGATTTGCATAAGTAAACTAATTTCACATGTTATTCTTTATGCAAGGCCCAAATGCCGAAGGTTCATATTTCATGAGGCTCAACTGTTTAGAGCTCAAGTGTCGAGGGGAGGGGAGGAGGGGGACGGCTCATTTGTCGGGACTTATTTGTCGGGACTTATTTGTCGCAGACTCAATTGATGTACCATATATATCCAGACATGTTTACCTAAAAAACAACTAATTCTACATGAAAAAACGTATAATAAGTTCCTAATTAAATTAAAGAAGATGAATTCACTTGTTATATCTGTTTTATTGTGATGTTGGTATCGAATTGTTTGATCTATAAGTTCTGTACATTCATCAATAATTGACAATTCCATATTGGTGGATGATGCAACAATCCAATAAGAATTTGGTAACGATACTAAACTTGAACAACCTGATTGTAACTTTGTCCAACGTATAATATTCATCATACGATCTCTTAATTCAAACCGTATATAATTCGATTTTGTTGAACTAATAACAACACCAATAAATAATTCATTTGTCGATATACGAATACAATTGATTTGCTCGTATATTCGACATTCCCATTTCTGTAATAATTTCCATTTTGTTGTATTCCATTCATCGACTATATTTCCATAGGTAAATAATAGTGTTTCACCAGAACATGCACAATGTTCAAAATCTCGACTTTTGATTACATCAACACTTTTTGTTTCATTAGTCACTGGATCATATGTCAAAATTTTATCGACTAAAAGAAGAATAAATTGTTTTTTCGATGAACAATAACAAATATCTTTAACATGGCCAAATGTCCAGCGTATACTTCGTGTATTTTTATTTACTTGATTAAATAGACACATATGTTCAGCATCAAAATAGATTAATAAATTATCGTTTGTCGACATTGCATAAGAATCACTATCAATATCAAGGATATCATTTGGCTTTGTTTCTAATAGGCTAAAATTAAATTTTATCAATGATACATCATTGTTTATATATTGTTGTTTTTCGTCTCCTTCTTCTAATGATATAACTGTATTCGCTTGAATACCGATTATTTTTGTCCAATCAATTTGTTGACTGTACCTAATATCAAGATGAATATCTTTTATTACTGTTGAAAAACCATTTTTAATTAAAGTTTCTAATTGATCAATTTGCATTTTCCATCCTGCAATATCTTGTTCATCATAATCATCAGCCGTATTTCGAATTCGTAATTTATTTGTAACAGTTTCAATTCTTTTTTTACATTTATTTTGACATTGATTCAATAGATTATCAATATATTGACGAACATTATCACCAGCATTTCTTATTTTTTTCGTCATCAATAGTTCCCAATCATTAATTTCATCTAATAAACGATTTATACTTGGTAATTTACTATTTGTTTTTATGGGCGTTAATTGTTCAAGTTTTTCATCATATTTTTGAATAATCGCGTTTAAATCATCAGTCAAATATTGTCGATGAGTGTTAAAATGCTGGCGACAAAAAACATTTGAACATCCGGAACAGACAGCAATACCAGCGTTTACTTTACACGTAAAACATTTACTAATATATTTAGTAGCATCAAACACTGTTTGGAGAGTTACTAAAACGAAGTATGTAGACATTCTTTTTCATAAGAAAACAAGATATTGTTGATAAATAAACCACAATTGGATATTTAACGGGCGCGCCAGAAATAATGTCTCTTCGTATTTTCTCAATATCTCGGTCAAGGTCAGTCAAAGTCAAGTAATGCTTCTCCCCGTATTTTCTCAATATCTCGGTCAAGGTTGATCGTCAGTCACAATCTTTTTTTAAAAAGATTCCTCATTCAATTCTCTACAAAAAACATATTGAACATTTCTTTGTATATTATAAGAATAAAAAACTATAGAGGAAATACAGGAAAACTTCAATATCGATTACTTTCAAACCCCAAAACACAGATTTTTCAATGTCAGTCCCTTATATTTTGCGGTATAAAAAAGAGAAAATGGCTATTTTGTAGTTCTTGAAAAGCTCTATCAACTGTAAGACTCTTCATAGGCTAAAGCGGTCGCAGGATGATTTTTTTTCCTTTAGCGATTTTGCGAAAAACCGAGATATTAAGAAAATACGGAGAGGGACATTATTTCTGGCGCACCCGTTACCTTGCGGGAATACTGTGTCAGGTAATGGAATATAATGAGGAGATAGTTTAGTGGCTGTATAACTTGACTCTTGTTCTTGCATCATGTTACATTCTTCGAATTCGAATTTGAAACCTGAATAATGGGGTTGTTCTGTTGAATTTAGAGTCTTGCCTGTTATACATTGCTGTAATCGACGTGGTGAAGATTGTTCACCTTAATAAAAGGTTAATATGAACGTTACTTGACTAGTAATTGCAAACATGGTGTTTTTGTTACCTTCTTGGAAAAATGACGGTTGAGAAAATGTGAGAACATTAGCGACTGGTGTTGAATATGTAGTATTCAAATGTCCGACGGAAGACTGACGTATTGATAGAGCGGATGATTCGTCTGAATAAATAAATATAAGGTGACGATAGTTCTATGTAAGAGTCAGTAGTCCATGCATAGTTACCGAATGTTATGAGGTGCCGGAATTCGAAAATTCAGTACGTTTTTATTTTGCATTTTTTATACATTGTTGGATAGAGCTTGTCGATCTAGGGAGAAAATATGTGTTTTAATGTTTGAAAAAGTTATTTTCATGTCGAATGACTGGAAAAATTCGAAGGGTCTAAAATTTCAAAAACCGGTCAGTTTCAAAACACTCAAATTTTTTTCTTTTTCGTTCTTCTACCTTTTTGAAAGTTCTTTTTTCATATTCAACATCAAGAACTGAGTATGAGAATGATACTTGATCGAGTTTGAAGTCAAAGATCTATCTAGTATGGACGTCTTGAACTCGTCCTGTAGAAAGTTGATAAACAATTTTGCAAACCTATCTAGTTCTGTTTGTGAAGAGATGAAACCGATTCTTTTACTTCATTAGAATCGTCATGGAACGCGCTTAAAAAGTATAAATCGCTTTGTTTTATTTTGTTTCGTCACTAAGAAAATTCATTTTTTTTAGATCGGCAGCGAAGAAATCGAAATTCTGCCCGTAATTCTTAATTTTCTCCACCAGAACTCATCTTTTATACAATAAAAACATCACATTTGAAATCAGCGCCAAAAACTGAGTCTAGTGAAGTAAATAAACCGACTTCATCTCTTCACAAACGGAACTAGATAGGTTTGCAAAATTGTTTATCAACTTTCTACAGGACG